TGATCTTGGGTCCTGTTCGCCGCGAGTGTTTAAATGGGTCTGGCCCCGCCCTTCGGGGCGGCCCCGCCCCCAGCCCGGGAGTCCCCGCGTCTCGCTCCAGCAAACACAGGCCCTGAAGGGGCTGGGCTGACCTTGAGCCCCGACCCCACGGGGTCCAGAGAGCCGGGGCTCCCTACCTTGGTCTGAGCAAAAAGGGCCTGGGATTCTGGACTCCTGAAGCAGGAGGGCCCTGGAGGCCTGGACTTCTCGTCTCTGCCCAGGGGGTGCTGGAGACCTGACCCCTAGGCCGGGGTGGGGGCTAGCAGACTGGGTCCTGGGGAAGGAGAGGCCTGGAGGTCCGGACTTCCTGACCTCCAGGGAGGAAAGGTCGGCAGGTAAGAGTGATAAGGGTAGACTCAGATTTCTCCCTGTCCCCCACATCACCTCCTTTTTCAGAGGTCAGTTCTCATACATTCATTTAAAATAATGTATTACCGCAGGGGAAGCACTTTGCTGGGTGCTGTGTTCTAGCTGTGACCTAAGCAGGCAGGAATTCCCGCCCTCAAGCCGACTGACACTCCAGGGAGGGGCTGCTCTCAGTTCCCAGCTCCGTGATTGTCCACACACCGATGGACAATGTTAATCGCGTGTCTCCCCTGCTCTCAGCTCTCCTAGTGGTTCTCCTTCATTTGCTGCTCCTCAGTTTCCCTGGCTGTTTCTTCCTCTTCAGCATTTTTGAAGGGATGGGGAGATGGGGGGCGTGGGGGTTCCATGTGTACTCACTTCCTTGGCAATCTCATCCAATATGGTGACTTTAAATACCATCCATAAGCCATGAACCCCCAAATTTACATCTCCAGATGAGATTTAGCCCCTGAACTCGTAGAGGCAGCTGTGGTCACTCACCTCCACAGAAAGATCTATCAGGCATTTCCAACTCAGTGTGCCCAAACCTCCAGCACTTCCCTTCTCCCTGCCCCATAACTGCTTCCCCTCCGCCATCCTGTCTAAGGATGCTCCATCTTTTTGTAGTCACTTAAGCCTTAAGCTTTGGTCATCCTGGATCTCTTTCTCTCACACGCACTCAACCTTATCTACTCCATCAACAAGTTTTATTGGCTCTACCCCCCAAATCTTTCCAGTCTCCCCAGTGCCCACCCACACCCTGGCCCATCTGTTACCTCCCACCTGGACAATCATAGCAACTTCCCTAGTCTCTGTCCCTTCCCCCAGTTGGTCCTCAAAGGCAGTCAAAGGGACCCACCACCTCTTCCCTCTCCTCCTCCCCACCCACCCCTTCC